ATCTTTGTATTGGCAACACGCAAGAAAAACGTAGCAAGAGAGCACAATGGAAAAGATGTGCCTTCTCTCCCTTGCTAACCCCAGAGACTTCTTGACTAAAAACCTTGCTGCTAGATGGTGTTGCTAACGAGTTAGCAATGGAAGGAACCATCAGCAGACAGCTAGGAGAAAGAACTTCACGCTTGCTTAAAAGCCAGCCTTCAACATTCCTTTCTACCCTCCCAGGGAAAGATGTTTTGGAAGAAGCAATGTAGAACAAATTTCACAGAGAGATCTTATAAGTAACATTCCTAAGACTTGTAAAAAAAATTTTTTGAGTGTGTAAAAAGAGATAGAAAATATGTTTACTTGATATCAGCTTATTAATATACAATGATACTAATGAGAATTTAAACAAAACAAAACAAAAACTGCCATGCTTGTTAAATGCTAGTAGCCACAGGAAAAAGTAGAATAGAATGTAATTCAATCTCCCTACAAAAAGCAAAATTAAAAATTATAATTTTCTTTAGACTTCTTTACCATAGTTAAATAACTGGGGAGGGGGGAGAACAGAGGGGTTGAGCAAGTCTTGTTATTTAAGTGAAATCCTGGAATTTGCATAGGACATAGCCATTACATTTAGGGAGCCTCAGGAGGAAGAGAATTCTCTGGCTACCTTAGAAGTGGGAGCAGCAGTGACACGCTCAAGAGAAGCTCTGTTCTCAGTCTTCAGCATTCAGTGCTGCATCTCACTGTAAAGGATTTCCCCCTGCACTCCCCCCTCTCTAGGACAGCGGATTTTAGAGGATCAAGTTTTATGACTTCTCAGAGCCTGCAGGCAAACAGCATTTCCAGATAAACACTATGAACTATAAACCTCCAGTTGTCTGGGGACCAGACCACACAAGAAAAGCTCAGATTACTGTTGAATCCTCAAGTACTACTTTCTTCCCATTCCCTTCTTGGTCTGTCTGAATTTTACACGTGTTTCACTGTAGCACAGAATGCACTATTAATCGAGGGAGAGTATTTCACAGCCTTTGAGCAAAAAAGCTAAGTGTAAAAAATGTATTCCATGCCTTGTACCCATACATTTAAATTCATCTTCAGCAAAACGAGGGAGTCTGCTTAAGACATTACATGTTTTTTTCTTACTTTGTTTCATTAAAAAAATCATTATTTCCCAAAGATCTCTAAACTAGACTTAGTTTAGATTTATTCAGGCCTCAGTTACTGAGAACCAGGGGTGAACAGGCTAACAGCAAACTGACTGTAAGAGGGAGAGACTAAAAGGGAAAGAGGCAGGTTTTTCACAGGGTTTAAAAGTAATACTGTAGTCTAGAAAAATTGCAGAGAAAATACTGATCTCTGTGCATCTGGCTTTGATCCCATTAAAACTTCAGCTGAACAAGACAAAATAAGTCCAGGGCTGGAAAGAGTTCTGACCAATGCAACAAAATCAGTTCTAAAAGGCATCTATGAAGGAGACATTTGTTAAATGTTAAAAACAAAGCACATCCCTTGTGTTGTATCCTCTCTACCCACCTGGTCATTTTGGAAAACAATAAAAACCCCAGCTCTTCCATAATAAAGCACTCACCTTGCCACAAGCACAGACCAGATTCTGAACATCATGATTCCTTTCCTCCCTCCTTTAATTCACCTGAGCTTTGCTCCACCTACCCTGCCCACTCTCCCAAGCGAGTGCTTGCTCTTAATTAGGCATTATAACCCTGTCTAGCCTGAATTCCCCAAATCACAATCAGGCCTAAGTAAAAGGTATTCAGCTGATGATGACAAAATAAGCCATCTTCAGAGGTTGTTTCTTGAGACAAGAAACAAACAGTTCCATGCCCATAATGATATCATATACTGTTAGGCACTGTTGTTATTATTACTGATTCTCCTGATTACACCATATCTGATGTGTATTCATCTGGCTGTATGTGACAGACATGTTGGGGGGGAGGGCTGTATGCACTGCATATGGGGACTTGGAATGTCCTGGAATATAAATATGAATGTACAGACTATATCCCATATTTCTTAGTCTCCAGCAATGAATCAGAAACTGGCAGTCAGTGCTCTGTTGGCTGCCTTCTTCCTGTTTGTACCTGAAAATTCACAGTATACATTCTTTCACTGAAGGAGCTGCATAAATATTGCTCTCTTAGTAAGAGCCATGCAAATCACAAGAATAAAACTCATTAGAATGCTAGGAATACTTTCTAATGATTTCAGGTGGGAACCTAAGTGTTAACAAATTGCTCACAATACCCTCAGCAGCAGGGTAAAAAGAATCCCAAATGAGAAGTCCCTTACAAACTTTTTCAGTGCTTTGATTAATGAAGCAAAGAGGATTAGCAGGCTTGACAAGAAATGCACGTGAAATTCACACATAATCTGATATTTTCCTGAATAACTACTTAAATGAAAACAATGGCAGTTTGAAGGTGACTGGAAATAAAATTCCCAGGAGTGTTCAGTAATAGTCTTTCTCCATCCAAGTCCGAGACAATGGCAATAGATTATACCATAAAAAAGAGGCAGAACTGGGACAAATGTCCAGTTGCAGAGAAAAAAAATACTTGTAGTCTATTTCCAGCATGGCTGATGCTCTTGAGTCCCAGTTTGATTTCCAAATAAATGACTCCTGGAAGTCACCCTGTCCTGTCCAGGCAGCTTCTGAAGATCTCCTAGGAGACTCCCCAGCCTTCCTGGGCAGCCTGTGCCAGTGCTCTGCATATTTTTCCCTACGCATGGAGGTTTTTCCTAGTTTTGAAGTTTTTCCTGCCAGACTACAATTCATTCAGACTAAATATTTACTCGTAATTTTTGTGCACAAGGAGCCAAACTTCTTCACTATCCCTTTTAAAACAACAAAACCTTTATTACATGAACACCTGCTATCATCATGAACACAACTGTTTTTCCAAGATAATACCTGAGTATTATCTTGACAGATAAACAAGAGGATTGTTTTCCCTGCAGTATGATGTTTAGAGCTGCTATGGTCTGACTACCATCCAAAATAAATTCTCCTGTACTAGCACAAAACTGTTTATTCATCTTTTTTAATCCACACGCTCATAAACTTGCATACACATCACCTGATCAAAGCAAGTATGACTGCTGATATTCATCATCTTCTATTTGTAATAAGTATTTTGCTTGCATAACAACCTAAGTATTTGAAATATAAAATGCTTGATTGAAGAAGAAAGTTTCCTCAATGGTTACTGTTTGCACATTTTGAGTGTGTCTGTGCCAGAACTGTTTTTAAAAATTGACTTTAGAAACATTCTGCTTTCCCAGTTGTTTTACTCTAGCTTGTACCCCTAATATCAAAAGCTGAACTATCCTAAACCATTTTCTTCATCTGAACATACTGCCTAGGAAAAAAATGAAAGCCCAGATTTTCCTTGTTTTTCAAAAGCATGACCTGACATTTTCATTGTTTTTTCCTCTTTTGAATTCTCCTCTATAATTTATTCTCTTTTCCTTTAAGCTTTACTCTAAAAAAAAAATACAAGACCCATTTACAGGATGTCATTTGCTTCCATTCTTTATGTATGCTTTCTTTTTCATTTTGTGTATAGTTTTCAAAACCATATGATTAATAAACTAATAAGAAATGAAAAACAGAGGAAAAATATAAATCGTGTGTGTGTATATATACATGTCCACATACATATGTGTGTATGTATGTGTGACCCACCCCAGTATTAATCTTCTAATGCTTGTTTCAAGTGTTTTCAGGGGATCAGAAGTATTATTGAGAAATAGTAACATTCTACTAGTTCCACAAACAACCTAATATTCATGTCAGAGATTGTCTGAATCTTAGAAATGATGTTTGCTGTATCTTGTATCCTGTTCCTGATTCTTTTCAAATTCTTTTTTTTTTTCCTTACATCTCTCACAGTTCATTCCATACACACTACAAGCCTCTCATTTCTTCTACATTTCGAAGTTCTTTATTGCTCTGTTTTGTTTTACTTTGTTTAATCCTGGCAGATGAAAATAAACTGATAAAGTTTCTGATTTTGCAAACTATTCAGTGCAAAGACTTCTGTGCGGTTAAGCAAATAATACTTATATTTCACAATATTTCCTTGTATGGGGTCTGGTACCTGATATCTTTATTCTGATGGAACAAGATTCCCAAGAGGACATACAAAATTTTACAATGAATTATAAATGTTTGTATTTTATTTTCCATGTGGTACAAAACTCTATGTTTAACACACATCATATGCAATAATTCACTAATGGGCAGATATCTTGTTTGAGATATCAATGACTTCAATGGCTTCAATTATTCCTTATATGCTGAGATAGAATCACATGATACAGAATTGTTTTTCCAAACCTAGGACCAAGAAATATCTTGGTGTTTTATAAAATGTATTATGTATTATTATAAATGTATTATAAATGTAAAAACATTAATAGAAATTAACACCTAACATTTCCAGCAATAATTTGGACTTTCTAGCTGTAACCTCAAATTCAAAAGAAAAGGGAAAAAAGGTTTTACTCTTCTTTGTTGTCCTGATCACAGGCTTTAGAGTCCCCTTGAAATTGGTCCTGTGACCACCATGCCAAGCAGTAACCAACAAGTTAATTGGATATTACAGCCTGCAGCTCTCCCAGTGCTGCAAGGTCTGAAATCCAGTTGGTCCTGGAACGAGTCTTTGCCTTTAGCAGATGCTAACAGTCACGTTAGGAGACAGCCCTTCTGGTTCTCTCAGAGCTGTTGATCTGTTGATACATGCAATCTCTAGCTTCTGAAACTAGAGTAGAGCTTAGCTCACTGTATTTGAAAAGCTTCTGGGGTTTCAGATACAAACAGCTCCTGTTTACTTGTCAAATCAAGTCTAGATTTCAGCAGACAATGATAGCGAAAAGGTTACTTTCTAAACATCACTCCAATAAGTAAAAAAAGACAGAGCTGGTGCATATTTTAACCCTTGACCATGGAACAAAAGTCAGAAGTGCTAGAGAGTAATCAGTACCTTGTGGCGTAACCTTACGAGGGGCTGATAGGGCCTGAAGTCATATCCTTCCTTGGCTGGCCATCCATCTGCTCCCAGCAAAATGCATCCAAGAAGTAAAACAGCCGACCACCACATAAACATCTTTACAGGTCTGTTCCTGTCAAAATAAAATGGACAACTTCAGTGACAAAGTTTATCATTATTTTAGCACAAGTGATTTTCTTTTCAGTATTCAACACTCGTATAAGATTTTGACTGATGGAGCAGCTGCTCTAAACTCAATCTTAGCTTTAAGAGTAATACACAATACAATATTTAACACCATCTTCGTGTTTCACTACGACTAATCCCATTCGGAATCTCCCTAGTAATAAAGTTCAAGGTTTCTTCTTGGTTATCATTGCCTTTCTTATTCTAACAGTGCCAGTTACATTTATTTTGTATGCCAGCTCTTCTAATTTACTGCAAGAGGTAACTCTCAGAGGATATCTCTTGAAAAATAAGCTAAGCAGTGAATGATTTGAAACAATGTGCTCTATTACAGACAGACATTTTACGCAAATAAACTCAAGTTTGGTCTTTTGTACCTGTTCAGTAACTGTATTTTAAAACGATCACTGAAAGCTCTCTTTTTGAGGTCCCCTCATGTCAAAACAGAACTGCTAATGTTCCAGTGTATCTTTGACTATGGGGCTATTAAAACAAATCTATCTCACTGATGTGAAAGACTGGAAAAGATTAATCTCAGAACTCTGAGACCTCAAGTTTACCATGGAATGGCATTTTTCTTCACCGACTCTGTGTTAGTTCACAGAGCAGTATCACTGAGAAACAACAAATCTATTACAAGAAGAAGTAATTAAAAGAAAAAAAGAAGAAAAAAAAAAAAAGGAAGTATGAAAGAAGAAAAAAAATGTCTCATCTTGGCTTTTAATCTTGAAGAAAACACCCTTTTATTTCTGTTCATTGAAAAATATTTGAAAACAGTTTATTCTTAACTTTCTAGGTCAGAATCAGATTTTTTAGCAGTTATGAATACTAAAACTAGCTATGCACAGCTGAACCTTTGTCCCTTTTTTTGCACTTTTGGTATCTCTCTCTGTCCAACGAAAATTACTTTGGAGAACAGTCGTTCCACAAAAGATGACGAGGGCAGACACATTCCCCTACTCATCTAAATTTTAGCTTCACATGGTTTAAAAGAATAGAGGTTGTACAGTTTGGGAAATTGTTTGACCCTGAAAGCCTTCTCCTTTGTACTGGTCGTAAAGAAGAAGTAGTTACTGCATTCTCAGTCTCTGACTGCACTGCCTGGTGCTTGGATGAACACAAAAAAAGCTGACTTTCTAAATTCAGATTTTAAGACCCCATCTAAAATCCCAAAGCAGTGTAGGGTATCTACAGTCCTTATTTGCCTTTTCAGAAATAAAAAACACATTTTTTCAATATAAAAATTTTCTGTTGACCTTATTGCACAACTTACATACATACTTCTTCTCTAAAACGTACTACCAATATCAGAGTTCTCCTTAAAATAATGCTATTTTTATACCTGAAAGACTTTGAAATTTTGCTGTTTGGATAACTTTCTTCCATACTTTAACTTCACGTGTTACCCATTTGCATACTTCTTATCTGAGTTTTTTACAGTATGACAGCCACTATTTTCAATTTCATTTTTCTATTTATTTAAAGTAACATGGATAAATTGAGTTTTCAGCTGTCAGAAGCTTTTTAATAAATCGTAACATCTGAATATGTGAATGACTACATTTAGCATGCTGCTATTAAGAGCACAGGATATTATATAAAATAACATGCTTTTTACAGGAATTGGAGGTAGGTGAGCTTCAGCAATTTCAGGGTCAAATGAGTGATGAATTATGTGTTATAACCAATGCTATGCAAAATTATTTCTCATCAGAAGCTGCTGTAAAGATTTTAAGCATGAATAAAATGAAATTAAGAAATATATAACAAAAAACAGAATTCAACAAATACAATTCTTCTAGAGCCCTTGAGTACAAGTAACTTTCAGACTTCTGTGCTGTTCTGCTAACACTGGCTGAAAGAGTGGTGATAAAGTTCTACTTCCATTTTCAAGACAACTCATGTATACATCTGAAAATTTTGGAATGGATGGGGTAGGGCCAGGGGTGGGAAGTCTCAGACAGCTATTAACAATAACTACCTCATCACGTATCTATGAATACAAATAGATAATTTACAGCTACTTGTAGCATGTAAATAATTACTGTGTTTTCTTTTTTCCTGAGGTACATTATTTTGCTAATTAACAACGAGCTTCACCTGCTATTTTATAATTAAACTGATCATTACTGTGGGATCTTTCTACGCTATTTTCCATCAGCCCGAGATTTCCCTGAAGAGGAGGAACGAATTTAAAGATGAGGAACAGAAAATGGCTATTCCATGTTTCTGAATGTACACTAAGTTCTTCAAATTTAGATTTGCCTTTCTGATTGTCACAAAGCAGTCACATTCCTTTCTATCCCATTTGCAGAGCAATCACTAATCTGACACACAGTGCAGTTTTCTTGCTGTTGACTTCTCTCTATTTAAATTACTTCAGAAAAGTTTTGATAAATTATTACTCATATGAGGATTCTTTAACCCAATGACAAATTTGCTTCTCAAAACTTTCAGGCGAGGAACTCTGCTGGAACAGCTGTACCTTCTGAAATGGCAGTTGGATGGCAGAGGAAATACCTTAGGGCATCCCTGTTGCCTCATTTAGGTATGGGAAGACAATGTGGTCATTCCTTTAGAAAAGCAACATGCTCTGCTCCATATTATTTGTGCTTTTTGTTACTGTTCTGTTCTCCTCCTTCCATAGAATGTCCAAAATAATTACTATACTGAAAATCTCTGTCTAACAATATCCACTCTTACATTCAGTTTGCAACCCTCAGTAAAAAACGTCTGGCTGTGACTTATTCATCTTATGATGGTATACATATTCTTCAAGATGACTCTCATCTCTAAGGGAAAAAAACAAAAACATACTGTTCTAACCAGAACTGCAAAGAAGGAAGGTTTGATCATGGCTTTCTACTGAAACTTAGAATGCCCAAATTGATTTATTTTATTTTATTACAGATTATTTTGCTTTGTAAGATAAGTAAAAGAACTAAAAATGTGGTTATTCACTATGTTTGGCAAAAGGCAATTAAACACAATTTTAGTCTGCTCAGTAGAGCAACAGGATGTTGGTAATCATCTAGCCTTCAAACTTTTCTGACTCTCTCAGAAGTGGTTTATGCGGCAGGTTAGTTAAATCACTATTATAAGGTAGTTAAATCACTATTTTAATTATAGACAAAACACCATGAAATTGCAAATTACCTCTTTACTTGGCATAAGATATTGATTTCACAGAATTAAACTGTGTGTAGGTTTCCAATTCTCGCAACTGATGCCAAATAATCTTCAATGTTTCTATTGCACTCAAACCATCAAACAGTATTAACAACATGGATGGGATTCAAACACGTATTTGAGGAAGATGAGCTTCTCTAAACTGAATATCCAACCTGTTTAACCATCACTAGCAATTTCAACATAAATTCTTTAATCAAAGGCACCTTTGAACAGATATACATCAGGACTTATATATTAGCTTCAACATACAAATGTACAAATCATAGGTATTCAGGGCATCTGTTTCTGACCCTCATCGCCTACTTTATCTCTAAACTAATGACAGCTTTATGCACGTTAAGTAAAAAGGGAAAGTGCTTTGAAAATAACAGATTTACTGATAAAGCCACCAGCAAAGAACAAGTTACACAGAGTGGGAAAACACTGCTTGTATGTTCTTATTTTTTTGAAAGGGCGTGTGAAAAGGCAGTATATCAATTTCCAAAACAAAACACACACACACACTCAAAAACAAACAAACAAAAACAAAAAAAAAACCATACACACCAAAGAAAATGAAACAAGCAAACCAAAACCAAAGAAAGTTACAGGAAAAGTTCACCAAATGGCCACAGTGATCCTTCTTGATGAGTTACTCATTCCTGAGAAGGGGAACAACGTTTAAAACTCTTGAGAAAAAGCAACATTTGTCTCCATCTCCCTTTTCTTTCCCCTTAGTGTTTCTCACTGTTCTACTTTCCAGTATTTTGCAGAAAATGAACTAAACCTGGGTTCCGACACCTTCCTTATAAACATCTAATCATGATTAAAGTATCGTAGAATAATTTATTTCAAGCTTATTGTGCTTTCTAAGTCTTCTCAGCATTTTAGTGGTAATTTTTATTCTTTGACTCATTCCTCATTTGAAATTGATGGACTAAAAGAGATATTGCTACTGTAATAACTTAGCAAATATCTACTAAACAGTATTTTATATCTCCTCACGATGTAAGCTTAACAAATAGAGATTGAAAAAATATTGTGTTATACTCAACTAGTTCCAAATATGATAATGTGTCTATATACAGTATGTAAAAGGTATAACAAAAGAAAGCATGCTTAAACCACTGTTTATATGCTGACTAAAAACATATCCAAATATGCAAATACACCTCACTTAAAAGTGTGTATGCTTAAAATTAGTTTTTCTTTCAAAGGAATTGTTTTCAGAATTCCTGACATTTATGCTATTGATTTGTGTTACTAAAATGTGTCCAGCCAAGACATTCAGTGTTAACAACTGAGACATAACTCATTTGAAAATACAGCCATTGTATCCAAATAAACTGATTTAATCAATACATCTACGTAGGGTAATACATGAAATTGGTAATAAATTAAATTTTAAATACCACCTCGAATTGTGTTCCTATCACCTTTTTTTTTTTCTTTTCTGAAATGACACATTATGAATTAACTTGCCTTTATTTAAAAGGTCTTTTTAGCATCAGAAGCAATAGCACAGTGTACCCTCATGACCCCATCGGTCTTCTTCACATACTATTCATATGAAGAAAAAAAAGCCAGGAAACTGTAATCAGTTATCTGCTTGGTAAGGATCAAGAAAAAAAGCTTAAGTTCCATAATCGTATTCAGCATTATTAATAGTTTGGTAATATAGCTACAGTAATAAATATACACCATGCTTCAGTGACTATGACTTTGAGCACTTCATTGTACATACTGATGGATACACATACCTGACAGGAAAGAACA